GTGTTAAACCCCCTTCCCGTCCAGGCCATTTTTCAGTATTCAGCGCTGTGGTACTTTGACTGACATTTATTCCGTCATGCAGCGCTGTACTGAAATGAATTTTATACCCTTTTTTGGGGACAGATAGAGCTTTCTTTTGGTGGTATTTATTCACCACTGGGGGTTTTATTTTTTACTATATAATGAAAAAAGTACCAAACATTTGGGGAAAAAAACAGTTTTCCCTACGTTATGTTATAAAACAATTATTATTACCCACATTTTTTGGCAAAATATAAAAGACGGGGTCATGTCGGGTAAATAGACAGCAAGCATGTTAAGCTTTAAAATTGCGTGCGTCCGCGAACTCGCAAAAACTACCGTACCCAAAATTGGCCATAGGCGACGCTTTAAAAGCTTTTACCGCTCAACAGGTTAGTGTTATCAGTGATTGATGGCCCTAGAATTATTGCTCTCACTGCGATGTTCGCGGCGATACGTAACATGTGCGGCGTAATCGTCATTTACGCACTTAGGCGCACTAGACGCATGTTTACATGTGTATGTGGGGGGCGGGGGACTTAAAAAAATGTTTACATTTTTTAAAATAACCTTTATATGTGACTTTTAATTTTTTTATATTTCTTTTGTAACTAATTATTTTAAACATTTTTTTTCCACTTAACTTTATTGACTAACAAGCCCCCTTTGTTATAGCCAATTTTCAGTGACAGGTCCTTTTTATGGAGACATCAGGGGTCTTTAAGACCGCTAATGTCATCTATCGACCCCCAGAGAAGCTGATGAAGCAAACACCTGCTTCACCAGCTTCTCTCCAGTTTCTGTACCGGAGAGTGACATTGAATGCAGGCAGTGATGTAATACACATCACTGCCTGCATTCCGAAGAGGAGGAGATCAAACGGAGCTCGTGTACTGAGCTCCATTTGATCTCCAGCCGCAGAGCTGCTGTGCTGGTCCCGGGCTCACACCGGGGTACAGCAGAGCTCGGGATCGCCGGCTGCGGCGGAGGGGGGCACACACCCACACGCATATTACAAGCGATCAGGCGTCTCTACAGACGCTCGAAAGCTTGTATGTAAACAGCCATGATGGCTGTTTACATTGCAGGCTGATTTCCCGCTCGTGCGCGC